CGGTTGGCATTGCCATCCCTGGAAAGGCTGTCCTTAGGATGGAGCCAAAGAAATGAAAAGCCAGGAAGCAGTTGCTCCTTGCAGGAAGTTCCTGCTCTAGTGGGCAAGTGGTTCTTACACAGGATTGCGAGCATGTGGCCAGGTAAAACAATAGGCAAGGTTTGAGACACCTGCCTGAGCTCACTGCAGGGGCCTTGTTGAGGCAGAGGAAGGCTTAGGGTCTGCAGCACTGTCCCTTGGTCAAGCCTGTCTGCAGAGGCCAGCAGATACTGGAAGAGGTGGAATGCCAGAGTGGCTGTCCAGGGCTACATAAGTAAGTGCCCACTCTGCAGTGGCAGAGCCCTTCGAGAGTCTCATTATAGAATATGGTTCTGTTCAGAAATAAACTTGAAAGTCCACTGAAACACAAAATGATGGCTCCTGCCTCTCTGACCCCACCCACTTCCATTCATTTGCACACAACAAGAACTTAAAACTGGCTGGCTGTGGGGACTTTCTGGGTTGAGCCACCAGAGGGCGCTGCTGTCTAACGGTTCAGACAGTTTGAAACTGGAGGCTTGCTGGACCTGAACAGCAGGAGATCTTTTAATGCAAATTCACCAGTCACATTGAAGAAATGGCACCTGAAATTCAGAAATATTATTTGTCAGAGTAAGTGAAGAATTATATTACTGGCTGCTAGATTTTGAGGATAAGAATAAAAAAGCAAAATTAAATTGTTTTCATTCATACCTACAGATTTAGTGCATTAGGGAATACAGAGGATTGTGTGCCTGTTAGTAAAGTGAGATGAGACAATGTCAAAAGTAGGTTGTCTGGATCTACAATAAACCTTGAAATCCACACAGTTCCGGTGGAGCTATTGGTGAATAGAGGGAATTATGACGTCATGGATTACACGTGACATTGTCAAATAGTATTGTATGTGAAATGTATAAGCAGTATTTAGTATACCTCATGAATGTGCATGCCTACAAATACAAATGTATCCATACACATGTAATGACTAACAGTTGTACCCCCCCCACACGTGCACAAGACAGGGTTTCTCTGTGTAACAGCCCTGGATGTCCTGGAACTCTCTCTCTCTGTAGACCAGGCTGGCCTTGAACTCACAGAGATATGCTTGCCTCTGCCTCCCGAGTGCTGGAATTAACGGTGTGCAAGCACACAACTGTACTTTTTTAAACTAGGCTTTGTGTTTTGTTTTTGTGCTTTGGGAAGACAAATGCCCTTTCTCCCTAGGTTTCAAAGTGATTTCTGTGTAAGTCACGCTTCTCTGCCTCAGCAAGCAGCTGGATAGGAATCATAGTCCAGAAGGGGGCGCTGTTGGAATAAGGGACTGTGGAGGTAGCACTGTGGATCTGAATTTCTTTTGTAACTGAGCATGCTCAAAAGATGCCAACAAGCCTGAACCTGCCTCTGGGTGGCAGTGACCCGTTTTCATCCAGGCTTTTCCGGGCGGGGGGGGGGGGGGGGGGGGGGGAGGGGGATTTGTTGTCATTTCCTTTGGAATTGGGTTTCTGGCTGTAGGCTAGAAACTTCTGTTACACATGCAAATATAAAGGGCAAAAACTGTTTTTAATTCTGACTAAAGAGAAGAGCCAAAGAATTCCTGGAGCAATTTCTGCAATAAGAAAGCTATTTGAAGGGAGACTACACATGAGATTTTTGTTGTTGCTTATGATAGATTTTTTTTTCCTTTTATTAGCCCATATCTGTTGTACCAAATGCTGGGTTTCTTCCTGCCACTTTCATATATGTAGATCCTGTATGCTCATCATTTTCATGGCTATTTTTTTCCTGCCACTTTCATATATGTAGATCCTGTATGCTCATCATTTTCATGGGGGGAGGGGGGAGGACAGAGAGCCATTATCTTTTCTCAGAGCAGAATATTGTGTTTTTAGAAGATTAAATACTGAGAAGAAAGCAGGGTGCAGATTGTTTCTCTGCTCACTGTGTCTGCACCTGTGCCTCTGTAGACATTCAAAAGAATAAACAAGTAAACAAATACTATAATTCTGTAAGGTTAGAAATTGTGAAGTCTACAGAAGCATACTAAACTGGAATCAAAGTCTCCCTGAGGCTACCCCCTTTCCTGTGGTTTCTTCAGGGCAGAGTTGAAATGGGTGTTTGTGTATTGTGCACACACTTGCACACGGGCTGCATCTAGCTGCGTGTGTGTCAGGCTTCACTCCAGAGTGACTGGGCTCTGTACGGAGTTTTTGTTATAGCCGTGTTCAACTTAATGCCTTGTCAGCATTTCCATGTCCTTTCTTCTGGGTGGCTACTCGAGTTGTTTCCAGTTTTTGAATAGCATTTGCCGAATACTTGTGTGGACATCCTTGCATATATCTGGATGAAGATGTGAAGTCATCTCCAATGGGTAGAAACCGAGCAGAAGCAACATTGTATTAAAAGGCATGATCGTCTTACAGTTTCAGACATCTTGCCTGATTATTGTCTAAAAACAAATGAGTCCTCCCTGCAGAGCTCATGGGGAGCCTCCCCCCTTCTTCTCTGCTGATAGCAGCTCTGCAGATTTTTACCCCTGGGCTGTCGGTGCAGCTCAGGACAGAGTGTTTGATTAGCGTGTGTGAGAACCCACTCTGCTAGGCAGGGAGAAACGTGCATGGCTTAGATATGTAGAGGGTGGCTATGGTGTAAATGTGTGTGCAATGTATGTGCGAGTGGAGGTCAACAGCACGTGTCTTCCGCAGTCACTTCTCACCATATATTTTGAGACAGGGTCTCTTATTGAACCACAAGTTCAGTGCTTCAGCTAGCCTAGCCGGCCATGGAACTCTACAGATCCACCCATCCAGACCCACACCCCAGTGCTGGATTACAGACATGCACCACCATGTCTGGTTGCTTCTATGTGGGTACTGGGGGTTCACACTCAGGTGTTCATACTTACATACTTAACAACTGAGGCCTCTCTCCAACCCCAAGACGTGTATTTTTAATTCTGAGTTCAAACCTCTTCCCCTGTGTTTTTTTTTTTTTTTTCTCCATTTGTGTTTGCTTTTCTGTGACTTGGCTCTCTGACCTTTGTCGTTCTTGTTGGGACCCGATCTGCTGAAGTGCTCTGCAAGTTCGGCATTTGCCTGGTGTTGTGTTGGCTTCATGATGCACTTACTGGTTTTTGGTTTTTTTTTTTTCTTTTCACTTTGTGATTTATTTTCATGCAACCAACCTTTACTTTAAATAAATATATAAATTATTTGCCTTTCAAATTTCTAGGCCTTATGCCCTACTCAGGGAAAGCAACACTTTCTATTCCAAAGGTATAAACAAAATGAGCTGAAAGTTATCCAAAAGTGTTTACACACTTTCAGTGTGTAAACGTGTGGTTCTCAGGAGTTTATTTGGAGATAAAAATTAGACAGAGATCAGGCAAGTTAGCCAATGGTGCAAATGTTACTTAATGATCGCCTTTGTCTATGCAATGCTAGCTTTCTCATGGGTTACTGTGTGTTGGAGTCTGCTTCTGGATGTATAATTAGATTCTTAATGTACTTACTTTCCACTACTGAGTGGTTTTAACCACTATAGCTTCATAATATGTTTTAAGGTTGGCTAATAATAGCCGCACACATTCCAGTTTCTTTCTTTTTTCTCCCCAAAACTTTCTTATCTCTTTCCCATGATTGTTTTTTTTTTTTTCAAGCAAATGTTTGAATCATTTCAGGTTAATTTTAATTAAGTAAACACATGTTAAGAGGAATGACCAGAGTATATGAGAGTATCTCCCCCCCACCCCCACCCCGGCTATCTTACGAAACAAATGTACTCAGGAATGATGTGATAAGGTAGGAATTATTTAGCTGAAGAACTATAAATATACTTGACAGGTTGACTGTATCCTCAGATTGAAGTGGTGAGGGAAAGGTGGGTGACAGTGGTTTTTCTTCTTTTTTAAAAAAATACTGCTTTGAATTGAGAAGAAGGGAAATGGATTGATGGAAAGTTTGGTTTACATCAGAGGCATTCCAGAGAAGCAAAAACAATCACTTCATTCTGTAGAATAACAAACCTGAATATTTAATCCTGTTTTCCTCAAGTAACTACAGTCACATTTAAATGAACTTTTTTTCTGTTGGAGGAAAAATGGCATAAAGCATATTCAAATGCAGTTCCTAAAAGCCACGTAAGGAGTTTTTAAGTTCATATGTAAATGGCAATGGAAGTGCAAAGCAAATTACCCGTCATGAGTCAAGCCATCGCATGTTTAACTAGTGCCATTTGTGCTTGGGCATTGGATGGCCGCCTTTGTACATGGCATTCTGTTCCATCAGTCACTCTGGTGAAATAAATGCACTTAGCACAAACTCCCCCGGGCCTTTTCCAGTGTGTTCGCCTCATCATGACCGTAGTGCCTAAACTGGAAAAGAAACCTTGTGAAAGCTTCACCAAGAACTGGAAATTTAACCCTTCCTAGATTGGGGAAACAATACAAGGCACTCAATGAAGTGTTTGAAATTTGAATTTCACATAAAGCCATGAATTTTTGTTGTTTTTTTGGGGGGGTTGTTTGTTTATTTTTGTTTGTTTGTTTATTTTTGGTATGTATGTTTGCAAATTCAAATGTATGGGAAGCCAGGAATGGTGACCTTAGTTGTCATTCTTTAGATGCTGTCCTGTGTTTGTGTGTCTGTGTGTCTGTGTGTCTGTCTGCCCATCTGTCTATCTGTGCCTGAAACTCGAGTTAGCTAGGCTGCCTGGCCAGCAAACCCCAGAAATCTACCAGTCTCTGCCTTCCCAGTGCTCAAATTACTCCCCTGTCCCGAATTCTGTATGGTGGTTGTGATGGTGGGAGTGACTCTGGTTGAGATAGTCAGACTCACACCAGAGCACAGATTGACCTCAAAGTCACTATGTAGCCAAAACCAGGCCTAGACTCTGATTTTCCTGTTTCCACCTCCCATGTGCTGAGATTCCAGGCATATACCAGAACACCCAGCTAAAACAATAGCTT